CGGGTATATTTTTTAGCTGATTCGATTGTTCCTTTCGAATCGTGAAATGAAAGTTGTCGTGAGCGGCTACTTGTGTACATCAAATCGTACTAACACGTGAGTCCCGCTGGGGTACATCCTTAGTCCTACGCTGTTTTTAATCTTCATTATCCAACTTCCCGATGACATAAGTTCTCAACTTGGCTTCTACCATTTACTTCTGGCTCGATAGAAAGGCTGATCAGCCTGACAAAATCAAAATGGCGGCTTATGTACAAAACGAACGCAAGACCGTCGTTAAAGGGGGCCAAAAGATGGCCTGCTAATTTTAACGCCCCCCAAATTTAACTTCTCTCCATTAATCATCTGAGAGACCTGCCTTCCGTCAGCATGGCTGAAGCTATCCTCCAGAAAAGTGACTTTTTGCGCCTTCTCGGGCTAACATTTCCAAATGACATGATATGGAAAAACTATAATGAATCCATTGCTAGGTCAGCTGCGAAAAAATTCTTCTCTCTTGAATATACCTTGAATATCTATAAGCCTACCATTCATCCATCCTTGTTGCCATATATGATCCGGAACCGCTGTTATTTACCTGGAGCTCATTATTAGAATCCAAAGAAAAATCAGCAATATTATCGGTCCTGAGCTGGCGTCTCGGCTACAGTCACTTGCCCGCTGCCGTAAGTTTACATACTTTCATGATAAACACTTTGCTATGGTTATTGTTTTATCCCTCACCCCACAGACAATAAATTGTACATGTGGAGACTGTTAGGATTTTCATAGAGACCTTGGGGTATTATGGTGATTGTAGTAAGAAAGCTAAGTAAGAATGTGTTATTTCGGTGTTAGGAATTTTGTGACATGTTTGGATCAATGTGACATGTTTGGATCAATGTTTGTGGCTAGCTAAGTTTAAATTTAAGACAGAAGAAGACCGTCCTTTTCTCCATTCCCTATTTAGGCCTTGTGCCACATTTTCTGTATTGAAGGGTAAACAAATATCACTCGTTGCTATTGTAGCTAGACTGTATGAATTTAACCGCAATACTAGACTGCTGGAGATATATCATCAATTTACAGTTGAGCTGGTTAGATGTAGCCGTATGTTCTATGCTAACAGGTTCTTTTCCCGCTTGTGGATCTCCAATACCAATCGCTATCTGCTCTCCTCCTAATTACTCTTTTCTCTTTCGCTTCAATGTTAATGTTTCTCTTTCTAATTCTTCCACACACTGTAACCCATTGCGTGACAATGTCTTCACTGGCTTGCTTGGGGTGACACTGATTCAAAAAAGCGGAGGAAATTTTTCAATGAATCAATCCAATTCTCTAAGCAAGACAAACATGAAGAACCTGTGAATATCATTGGATGCTTTCAAGCCGTAGTGTTTGCGTCAAAGTTACCCCACCCAGATAGTTGGAGACCTTAAAAAAAGAGACTAATAACATGCGTCTATTCACAGACCCAGGTGACAAGGTGATCGTTGTCGATATGAAAGAATTCATCGCATTACTTTGGCAGGTTTTGCTTTGGAATCCTACCCGGAGTCTAGCCGGTCAACTCAGCAGTAAAGCCTGGTGGTAGAAACTGTTTAGTCGCAGATAACTCGACAATGCAGCACATACTACTGAATTACTACACACACACACACACACACACACACACACACACACACACACACACACACACACACCTAGACTTACATACGCATATTTACAGATACACACAGACATCCACACAGAGATGTTCATCATATATTACCATAGTAATAGCAAACTGTGCTTTTCTTGATGAAAATCGGCCAAACTTTGCAAAGCTATGGCACAAAGTTTGGATACATGAGAAACCGGCATTTTGTTGCGAATACACACACACACACACACACACACACACACACACATATATATATATATATATATATAAATAAATTTCATCCTTCAGACTTTTTGAATAACCCAACTCACCTGAGCGCTATGGACTTTCCCTATGTGTACCCTGCTAGTATCGAGTACAAGGCGGCTGAGACAGTTATAAAAATCAGTGTCGAATAGCGTGGTACAGAAGGAGTGTGCGTCGGAGCCTGATCAGCTCTGACGGGGTCGACTCAGCGAGGGTGGTGTGATGTTGCAAGGCCAGAAATTACCCAATGACCTGAGTAATTACATCACTGTCGACACCCTCCTGCGCAATAAAAGTGCGTATTTCCGAAGTATATAGTCTTAAGGTGTGCTATATTTATGAGATAAAGTGCTCAATATCAGAGATAGAGCGTGTGTAAATATAAAAGTGAACATTGAAGTCAACGCTTAGAGGCGACAGGCTGTTTCATGCTAGATGCAATCGCCTGGCCACTTGAATGTTCAAGTATATATATATATTTAAACCTAGAGAGCCAGACAAACCTACTAAAGCGGGTCGTCCGAGCGAGTATAGTTTCTTATACTTATAAGATCTCTATTAATACATCTATATATATATATATATATATATATATATATATATATATATATA